CTGTTCTAGAGATTATAAATACTTAGAAGTTGAAAAATAAAAATGGGAGGAAAACAAATACTGTAAATGCTAGGGATCTGGTGACAAATCTGGCCCCGTTGCCACCTCTACTGTGGCTCCATATCTGGACTACCACCACATAAAGTAGGATAAACTACTGTGGGATGATCCTGCATTATTACACCACAGACAGTGTCTCCTTCCTTTTCCTCCCCCACCCCCTCGAATCTGAGCACCCTGATTTGTGTAACTCTACCCCTAGTATGGCTTTCAATCAAGCATCAATCAATCAATCAATCAATCAATCAACTATCTTCTGATTTTTCTAACACACTTGGGCTGAGGGTTGTTGCTGGTCAAGGAGCTTTCATTTTTATGGGTCTAGTCTGCACTGCCTGCATTTATTTGTAATACTTGGGTTAATTCTATTCTCCATTTTTTCAGCTAGTTCCCATTAAAATAATTTGAACATTCTGATTTGTACACAGATGTGTATTAGATGAGCAGACCCCCTTTTTAAAGAAACTTGTGCATGAATGATAGGACAAATCTATGAAGTTATTTTACTGACAGCATTAAAAGATTCCTTCATATGTAGATTAAGTTTAGAGAAGTGTCTGGGGGACAGATACACAACAGCCACGACAACAAGGTATTGAGACATTGTGCTGTTTTTCAAGTGATGGGCCTGGGTGTCAACATGAAGATGGCAACCCCAAACTCTGTCCCATTTTTGGTCAGCTGCCAAAGCATCATTAGCAGCAGCGTGCTTTCACCCCACACAGTCCAGCTGATGCAAGCGGACAGTTGGGCAGCATTTCCAGTGATTCAAGCAAGACACGTTAGCAGAAGCATTCCGAGCATCCTCAGAGGAGTGTTCAGGTTACCCACCGATGTGGCTATCTGACAATAAAGCAGAGGCCTGAGGCTCAGGGTGAGGGTCATGCTGTTAGCCCTGGGACGGCCAGAGTCTCAGTCCTACTTTCCTTTCGATAGCCTTGATCCCCGGCAATTGACACTTAGGGCTCTAACATTCTGTTTTGTTCTCCTGTCTTCTGAAGAGGGCTACCTCGAGACGTGGGAAGGGTCCAGTTTAGAATACAGTAGGTATCAGCAGTGAGCGAGCAGAAAACAGGTGAAGGGGTGACAAAATTGTTGCACAGCTATTCTGTTGGCAACGCTTGGGTGAAAAGTGCCTGGTACAGATCAGTCATCAGATGAGGAAGGATTGAGAACAAATCTCTGATGGATTTTGATCTCCATGGTTAATAAGAGCAGAGCCCTCTTGCCAAAGAAGGTGATTATTCACTGACTCATAGCATGGATGCTCTGGAAAGGACGTTCCCTCCATGACTCCACAGAGCAGACATTTCCACCGCTTAACGGCTATTACTCCTTCTCCCTTGATGCTCATTCTGTTGGCAGACTCTGAGATCCATTTTTTGGTCCTCTTATTAAAGCTTCTTGCCAACCTCCTACTCACCCCCTCACCCCCGACCACAAGCTCTCCGCTGCCTGACCTGTTCTGGTGGAGACCAAGCTCAGAAAACCTCAAGAACCCAACAGATCCACCCTGAGATACGTATACAGTATTCTCTATGATTGCAGCTGAGCTGCTAGTTAAGGACTGTGACTTTGCCCATAATTTGTCCACCCCGGGCTATGTGCTCAGACCTTGTGCTCAGTAAGCAAACACACAGACAACCCTCAGCCAGAAAACCACAGAGCCCCACCTATTAGTCCAGCAAAGACTCAGCTGCCCACTCTCCAAACCTCCCAGCACTTCTTTGGTCTCCCACATTTTTTCTGAATGTTTGATGATTTCTGCAGTTTATTGTATTTTACAGTTGCGTTTTGTAAACCACTCAGACTCGTAACACTTTGGGGCAGCTTATACATTCATAAACAGGCAAACTCCCAGCTGCTTGTCCTCTTTCCACAAACAGCCTTTTGTTTTTATATCCAACACTTTCAAGAACTGGTTGCTGTTGGTGAGAGAAGGAGAAAACCCATGTCCTCCAGGGATAGGACACAAGTGATTTAATTTCTACAGAGATTGTGGTGACATTTCTCCACTGGCCAGTTCAATGTAGTCAGAGGGTGAGTAACCAAGACCCTCTTGGGGCATCCAGGAAGGTGAGGATTACCCGGAAAATGTCCTCAGACACCAAGGGGAAACGTCAGGGCAAAAGGGCCACCCTGCAAGGAGGAGCAGAGCCTCTTAAGAAGAGGGAACCTACATTAATTCATTTGAATTCATATGTTATTACATAACGGTTAAATTTCATCACACTAACCCATCCTCTCACACCTCAGTTGATTCCTAGCTTTAAACCAAATCGATCCCTCTCAGATTCATTTCCTCAGTGGCAGCTCTTCCCTCTCCTCCTCCCTTCTTCTGAACGGGCAGGGTGGGAACGGAAGGCCTTTAGAAAGCAAATTATTATCACACCTAATAACTAAAACTTCCCCCAAATGAAACAATCATGCACACAGACTCCAAATTACACCAGTGGAACTTGACCCTTTTCCCGCTGATCCTTGGTGACAATTTCAGGATGCTGGGGAGGGGGGCATCCTGGCTTACCAGGAGGGGTGAAACCCGCCATTCTGTCCCCAAACCACACCACACTGTGTCCTTAAAGACATTACAGAGTCAACAAGCACAGCAGATTTCTATAAAATTGGAAGGGCTCCAGCTTTCTGGTTGCCAGTGAAGTTTACTCCATTCTGCTGGGAAATAAGAAAGTCACCACTGACGCTGTTTTCCCCACATTAGATTATGGGAGAATGGACCGTCACTGTTCTGAGCTTTCCTTCAGATTCAGGCAGGGGATAAGAATGCCCTACTTTCAGAGAACCAAGGCTCGGTTGCTCCCATACTCCAGATTGGGTGCTAGAAGAACAGACTACCCTGTGCAATTTTTAATGCACTGGGAATCTAAGAATGAAGTAAAACCATTGTAGCTTGGAAATGCTGGAGGGAACTATCTTGCTGTGAAATATTCTTGCTGGGTGGGATGGGTTGAGAGAAAGACCCAACTCCTTCAAAAGTTTAATGATTCCAGAGTATTGAGGGCTGATACTAAGAGCCAGACCTAGCATCGGAATAGGAGTATGTGGCCATTCTGATGTGCGTTCTTCTCCTATTCATGCAGGATTTTCGTTCATCTATGTAACAAGTAGACTTTTCAAGAGTAATACCCACGCATCATATTAGGGTTTGTGATGGATCCTCTGGGGAATTCTCCGAGTGCAAACCCAATGTTCAGATACTGCAGGTCCCTGCTGGTCTCTCAGTCTGACACCCAAGGGACAGGCATGTCTCCAGACTGGAAAGGTTTAGCAAAGGGCCAAGGATGATATAACAAATTTCATTTTCCATTGTATAGACACATGTTGTCTGTCTGTCTGTCTGTCTGTCTGTCTGTCTGTCTGTCTATCTATCTATCTATCTATGGAGTCTCTGGCCATACTATTTCGGCCTACTTGAAGTCCGGTGAAGGGCTTCTCAGAAAGATGGCATCAGAACGTGCACAAGTGTGAGCTATCGGCCTCAGCTTTTTAAAAGCAAAGAACTATCATCTGTCTGTAGATCACGACCAGGCCTGCACATTGTGCTAAGCCACCGTTTGCTTTAGTAAACCACCATTATTCAAAATCTTGAGCCAAAATGAAACAAACCACATGACGTTTTCATGCCGTGTGCGACCCAGATTTCTATTTACCGTGAGTGAGGGCATCATGATGCCACCGGCTGGGATGAGTCTGCCTGGAGCAACTGGCCAGAGACAGGCCCGTCTCCTACAGGGGCAACCACAACACATCGCCATCCAGCAGGGGCATCTGGTCTTTTTGGTGGCGTCTCAGAGCCGCAGCCAAGCAGAGTTTAATATAGTCCCCTCTGCCGCACCAGCTGCCTTGCTGGGCTTAGAGGCAAATGGGATTCTCTTGGCAACTGTGCAGATTAAAGGAAGGCCGATTAAGGCCTGTTCAGATCTGCAATTCAGCAGAATCAGTAAACAAAGAATAAACAAAGGAAGCTGATCTAACACCCACACGCTCCATGTCACACAGACTGAGATTTTAAGTCATAGCTAAATGCGTTCAACTAATGCTTGGGTCAGATTTACTTCACACTGAATTGGGATTTTCCACAATTAGAAACCTTGAGGATGTAGCCTGAATCTGGACTTAATATTTCTTACCCTGTGCGCTGGATCACCACTTATGTGTTTAGCATCCTATTTGTGTGAAACAACACTTGACCTCACCTCGTGTCTTTTAGAATAATGCTTCACATTTCTGCAGGCGAATGTTGTCTGTCCAAACCTCAAATCTTGGAGTTCCAACTTAATCCTTTACAACTCTACTGTCAACTTAGAGTCAAGTTGGTCAACACACTGGCAATGGCCACCTAACAGAAAATTCAGCACTATGAGACAAGAAGACACTACATTTGGGATTCTGCTATTCTTCCTAAGGGGGAGCATCTCCTATGATGAAAATGCCATATCCCCTCAACTCAGGATTAAGACTGTTTAGACATCAGTAGCCAGTGAAACAATCCCCTGCCTTAAGCCGCCTCAACAACAATGAAATCACAGGGTGCAAATCATGCATGCATAAATCCAGCACATGGAATCTAATCATCTCACTTCATAGATTCACAATGTGGCCATATGGTATGATCTAATCATGCAGCTACATTATTTCCTTCAATTCTTCTTACATTGCCAAGGCAGAACATGGAAGTGTCCAAGTCCTGCTTCCTTCCACAGCATGGGTAAGTGCTCTGTTCTGTGCTATGTTGGATGGAGAAACATCTCCTCTTTGTTTTGAAAAAGAGAGAAATGATGTGAATCTGTCAAACGTTCTTCATAGGACTGCAGCAGGAACATCACGCTGCTCAAGACACTCTGAGCAGTGGCAAAGAAACTCCCTTGGAGTTGCCAGTCAATGAAAAGACAACCGACCCCATGCTGTTGAGTTTCTCTTACCTCCACATCCTTTTCTAACTCCAGACCAGCTTCTATCAGGTTGCGTTCAAACTCCTCCCTCTGCTCCTGTTTTGCTCCCTCCAAAGCATCCTGTGGAGTCAGATCGATGACCTGGGCCTCCGGAGTGGATCCCTCCTGCTGTTTCTGCTGGCTCTTGGCTGTCTCCCCATTAGAAATAATAGCCAAGGACACCGGCCTCTGTAAGGGGCCTGGAGGATCACCACCAGGGACTGAGGAATGCTTTCGATAGTGATAGACTAAGACGTAGTCCACTTTCCTCTTGCTGTCTCGGAAATGCATCCCTCCAGGAGATGTACTTTCTGGGACACTAAGTTGCGCCCCATCCAGATAGTTGTTAATCACCTGGAAGAAAATTGGAAGGAATTTACTGAGAGGCGAAATGAGCCGAATGACTCAGGCTCTTCCTACTAGCAACACCGTAGAAAAACATGGTGTGTGCCGCGTGTGCAGAGAATTTGTATTAACTATTGCATTTGAAGGAATGAAGCAGATGGAACTCAGATTAAACCACGCAGGATGTTTTGATTTCACAAGCTTCGTGCCCAAAGGCACTCACAGAGTAAATACTTTTGGATGATCCATGCAAACAATCTAAGGCTGGTGTGCAAAGAAGGCAAGTCCCACTCCCTAAAACAGAAAATAGGAGTAAAAGAGCATCTATGCTGGATGAAGCTAATGCTTGTTCTACGTCCTCTGGTGAGACACTCCGAGCACTCCTCTCCACACGTAACTCAGATTCCCTTTGCTTTTCCTAAAGGGAAGCATAAAATACATCCTCACTCCCTCCCCGCCCTTAATCTCCTATACATCCTTAGCTATTCAAGGCTTGAACCTGACTGCTTCTCCCCAAACATACACATAACTCAGTTACACTTAGTATTCTGGTAGTCTTGGAAACCACTAAAAAGCTGCAAAGTATTGTTTCTATACAGTGAACTCAGGACATCAGTTGAGGGCCACCTTTGCAACTCTGCTGGTTGGCACGGTTCCACCTTGTTTGGTATTTGCAGAAATAATGCTACTCCTGACGATATCTACTGACCATTTTTGACTACTTGGCTAGCCAGCTGAGGCTCGGTTAATAAACCAATACTGGCTTCCTACATTCCTACATGTGTCCTATCAATGTCAAGTAACCCACAACTGGGTGGATTCACACATTGGGGGAGCACGACGACTTGGCTCACTGCGCCAAAACACAGCTCACTTCAGAAGTCAGAATCGCCGGGCTGTGTGAATTCAGGCAGCCCATGTGGTTTTCGGGAGAGTACAGAACAAAGTGTTTCGGCTGACTAGGGAGTCCTGGGGAGGACATTTTGGGGAGGATGACCCTGAGAAGCCATCTTAATACGGCAAATATTTCACATGTGGAAGCAAAGTTATGGCATGTTTCGCTCCCCAAGTTCCAAGACAACGGTGCTCCTTTGCTCCTGTGAACTGCGAGATAAGAACAAGGGAATAGGGGTGACGCTGGTATTGCCCTGGGAGTCGTCCATTTGAAAACAAGTCCTGGTTGGGAAGCCCAGCTTAGCAACAGCATGCAAATAAGCAGGTAATTCAATGTACCCTTTTCTTCATTTTTTAAAAATAACAAACGTGCATTGTGAGGTACACAACTCCTCAGGCACGAGACAAAGCCCAAGATCCCACTTTCTCTTTTCTTCTTTTAAATGCCTTCAAAACTCTCCCTTAATAGTCTCGTGTCCAACTAAGACACAGCCTGCCATGTATATCTGCATTTGCTCAGAATGATTTTTCCTTGCTTTTAACCTTCTTCCTACCCTTTTTGGCCTCCCATTATAGAAATCTGGATGCAAGCTTCATGGGAAAAATCCAGGTTTGGTTTCCAAAGCTTCATTTTGCTTTTCATAGCATTATTTTGCTGAAAGTTTGCTTATATATCTTTAACTTGATGTAGCTGTGCAAAGCACAAAATGTTAGCCTACATTATCTTCTTTTACTAAATCTTTCACCTTCACAGCAGATAGAATTTCACTATCCCATTACGGTGCCTTCCATCCTTCCCCCAACTTTTTTTTCCCCCCCAGAAAACAGGATATTTAAAAGCTGTACCGGCTTGCAAGATTTGAATATAAAGTACCCAATTAATCACAGTTCATTTAGACATAAGAATTTACAGGGTGAGGGAGCTGCAGAAGTTCAAGTTTGTTTATACTGCACAACCATAGAAAAGCCATAGGATTTGGTGCTGATGGTGGAAAGAAAACAAGTTTCCAGTCCTTATGCCTGGCAAAGAAATATGCAAGCCGCACCGGGCACCATCTTCAGAATAAAGGCAGCGACTTTCACAGAATTTTGGTCTGCCAGGAATTGGGGGCTTCGTGCCACGGAGGTTGTATCTTCCTTCCTCGTGACTGGGGAAAGCAAAGGACATTTGGGTTGATTTGCTGAATTTTAGTATTCTACTAATTACCGAACTATGGCTAACATCATACAGATTTTTTACGTTTTATTTTCCATCAGTCAAGTCTGTTACGGTATTTCCACACGTCCCCACGGTGCAGTTTCTATGTGGTACTTACAGGCAGTCCACGCAGATTCTCCGGCTCCATTCCTGCCAGGGAGGAAAGTCCTAGGCTGAAATTTCCAATCTACCCTTTCAAGTGGGGAGAGACAGAGCACACCACAGCCACTGGTGTCACCATCTCCTAGTCGCAGACCCAGGAAGGAGCTTTAGGAAATCCATCAGCCAAGTCTAGAAAAGACCGTCTCCCTGCCGTTGCTCCTTCTACGTGGAAACCGAAATGAGAAAGCTGCATACAGAGCCCAAAGGAACAAAACAAGACTAGTGTGGCTGCAAAGAAGTTACTGAAGCTGTTGTGCTCTTCATGATCTCTGGATTCCCAGCGGATTCATTCCAGGAGCTGCCATCTGAGAGGTCGCCATAGTAACTCCAGGGAGAAAGAAGCAGGTGCAGCCACCGAGAGAGAAACTTTCAGAGTTTGCGGAGACGCTCGCGTTGAGCCTGCAGAAAAGGTCCAGGGCATGGTCTCAGTGGATCCTCTGCCTGGAGATTCAGGATCACAAAGGACGTGGTTGTGGCTCTGGGATCCTTAATGGGAAGAGGCTCCACGGTGCCTCTTGTCTGCCAGGTCCCGTGGTGAACTCTGGCACAATGAGTAAGGACTGGCAGGGAGGCATCTTCTTTGTGACCAAGGGCTGCATGCTCGTTTTTATTCTGTGGGGACAACGGAGAAGGTGGGAGCTCATAGGGTGACCTTCCTGAAGAAGACAAGCCACAATTTCTGCCTCCTGTCGCACGTTAACAGAAGGGAGAGCAATGGTGCACTGCCGAAGTCCTGGCTGGCCCTGGGGAGCAGCCTCCTGGGGCTAGTTTGTGGCCAGCGCTTTGGGTGAACCAGGCCGTCACAGCTTGTGCCACAAGACACAGTTGAAACAAACGAGTTGAGTTTTTAGCTCCTATTTATCTGATGATTTTAAGTGTAAGGTGCCTATGGTTGCAGATTTTGAAATCTGAACAACTCATCTGAAGACTTAGTGAGATGTGGAAAGCCAGCTGTTGAGTAACCTGCCCTCTTCCAGAAGTTGTCAAGCTTTTGGCCTAATGCTAGTCACGGAGGATGCTGGAAGATGCATCCAGCAATATTTGGATACCCAACTTAAGTCCTGAATTCTTTTAATTAAAAAGAAAAGGAGAGTGTTCAGGTCAAGCTAAGACACAAGGCAAAACTGTTGGTGAACAAACCCCAAATGCTCACAATTAATACCAGTTTAAAACATAAGATTGAACATCTATTCAGATGGTGTGGAATTTGAGGCAGCTATCTGAAATCGTTATTTCTGTGGCATTTGGAGCAGACCGGGGACAGCAAGCCAAAGGTTGTCCTTTTTTACTTACTATGGACCACATTGGACCCCACATCTAAAGTGCAGGCCACCAAGGACGTAACAGATTCTTGCAGTTTTGATATTTCCTTCCACAGTGACTTTGGTGTACAAACTAACACTTACATCTTGCTATTTACAAAAAGAGGGTATTACCTTTCAAAATGTGTTTTTATGTTAAAATATATATTTAGCTACATTTTATCTCAGGGTTTTTATTCGATGGCAGGTGCCTCCTTTTTCTGACACAGCAGTGATACCCCAACACCCCCTTAAGAGCAAAGTGCAGTCCCCGGGGGTCCCCCTCTGGCACAGGAGGGTTCAGAAAGGAGTGTGACAGGGATGCATCCTCGCCCCCTCTCTTTGCAACTTGTACGCCCATTTAATGGTGGACCTTCTTCTTAATCTGGATTTCCATGCACCTAAACGCAAAATCTCTATACTCCTTTATGCTGCTGATGATCATTCCACAAACCCCTATAGGACTGAAAAGCGCAACAGCAGCCCTATTTTGGTACTGCAGACAAAGTCACCCGGTTCTTAATTCTGAAAAATCCAAAATGTGGGTCTTTGCTAAGAGAGCCACCCAACGATCCTGGGGAGCCAAAGGGCACAAGTTAGAGCAGGTTATTGCGCCCAAATATCTTGGGGTGGTTTTCCACTCTAAAGGCACCCGGAGCGCGCCCCAGGATCACGTCATGCGGCTAGCTCTTCGGACCGCAAGTGCTGCTAAGCGCTTCTTTTACACCAGCGGAGGCCAATTAAGCCCTGCGGCCTTAAAGCTTTTTGAGGCCAGACCACTGGCCCAAATCCTTCGTGGGGCACAAGTAGGAATTATGCAAAGAAGGTGCTCTGGAAACGGTGCAGACAAAATCTTTGCGAGCAATCCTCGCTGCTCCCAATGGAACAGCAAAATCCCGGTTAAGACTCGAGACAGGAATGCCTGCAATCCAGGTAAGGGCCTGGAGGAGGAGGATAGACTACTGGCTGGCAGTCCAGGTCTTTCCAGTCGGAGTGACCCCTTTAGTTTTAATAGACAATTTTCCTTCTCCCTGGAAACAGGCCATAGAGCAGAAGTTGGCCTGATATGGGCTTGCTGTACCATTCTTTAAGGTACGACCAAGCCAAACAACTGCTCGCCCAAAGGATAAGGGATAGGGAGTTTCAGGCCGAAGTTAACAGGCTGCCCCAGCATGGCAGAAATTGGATAAACGAGGGCACTTGGCAACCAGCAAGATACCTTCAAAATCTAACTTCCCCCGAGCGGAGGACAGCATTTTTCAAAGCCAGGCATAGCACCTTACGATCCACACTGCTGCAAGGCAGAGGCTCCAAAATCCCATTAACCGAGCACAGCCGTCCATGTGGCGACAAGGAGATCGAAACCATTTCGCATGTTAAACTCTACAGGGGTATCAGGCCTGCTTATATTCTGCCCCTACTATGTAGATTTCCAGGAGGCCAGACAATTTCTATGTTAACCATCTTCTAGAAGATTCAAAACCCTTTATCACTTGTGCAGTAGCCAAATGCTGTGTTGCTGCAATGATAATAAGGCATAACTGGTCACAGAAATAACCACCCCTGTTTCATTTATCATTTCATGTTTAATGCATGCTAGCGATCTCGTTTTAGGTGAGATATACATACATACATACACACACACACACACACACACACACTTCATAGATTGCAATATTTTAGATATACACTTGCACAGACAATCAACACACCATTATAACAATGTATGTTACATTTTTATCTTTTATTTTATCTTTGTTATGCTAATCTTTTATCATATCTACTTAATTTTAATTTGGTGTTGTGTTTTTTTCAAATTTGGCTGGTCATTGATTGAATAAACAGCCTTCCTTCCTTCCTTCCTTCCTTCCTTCCTTCCTTCCTTCCTTCTTTGACAAAAGATTAATCTAAGAATTCTTATAGAAATAAACATTGTTGTAAGACTAATGAGACTTTAAAGGAACAATTTTTAAGTGGTTC